GAAGGGAAAGCCAACTTGGATGGAAAGCAATAGATTTTCCTGTCTCTTCAGAGTTAGGTGGAGAAGTTTTTAACTGAAGTAGTATTTATCCTGAACTTCAGTGTATTTCAAGCAAAAGCAGACTACAGAGAAAAATTATTTACACATAGAAAATTAAAAAGCCTTTTACTTATAGAGCTTGTGATATGAGCCTCCCAATAGCTATGCCTAACTCACAACTTCCCTCCTACTTCTAAAAACTGTGAAACAATGAACATTGAATCTGCTATGTACGTGACACACATCAAAGTATGGAACTTCACATACTTCACATTTGGGCAATAACAGAAGCAGAATTGATACGATGCTAATGTAAAGCTCAGGGATGGAAAAGGAGTATCCAGTGGTCTGCACCATAGCCAAGAATTGGACATTTGGCTAAAGTGTCCAGGAAATAAAAGCAGACCCTGTCATACACTTTTGGTGAAATTCTGGTTGACTCAGAAGTCAGGAAGGAGAAATGCTCACAAGAAATTAGCATAACACAGAGGAAACTTTTTCTGATACTGTCACAGCATAGGTCTATAAAAAGAGAAAAAAACAAAGGGGGACCTGAAGATATGATAAATGGTTGTGGGAGACAGCAGAAGTATGGGTCGATAATCAATTTGTTATCTGAATAAGCGAAGGCTTTGTTAAGGGAGGAAGGGTATCGAACTAGCTGATTTCCACATCCATGACAAATCAAGCAAAAGAACATAAGCTTCTTTTAACCTAATAGAATTTTGGATTGGAAATTAATCATGATTTTATCTAGAGAGACATAATACTTGAGGCTTATATTATAGTAATTTATACTGAGGACCTGCAGTGTAAATTACTACAACTTTATTCCAGTAAAACCTGGATGAAATGAACAATCATTGAAATGATCAATATTTAGGAGAAGGTTGTAAAGGGGAGAAGATCTCCCTTTGCAATGTCGAGGGTATTTCTGGGCTGAGTGTATGTGGTTGAGCTTCATGTTTTGTATACTCACTCTACTGTGTCTTCTTCTTTGCCTGAGTCACTCTCAGAGTAACAGAACAGCAGAGAAGATCAAAGGCAGCCCGAATCCATTTACTAAGGGCAGTTCTGCTGAGGGCGTGTGTAAAGTCATGAACTGACTTCTGAGGCTAATAAAGCACCTCTCTTTGTAAAGTCTGCAGAAGTAAGGAGACACTACTAGTTGTAAAGAGTGCAGGGTTTTTTGCTTTGGGGAAAATGAAGGACCTTCTAGCTGTATACGCCACGATTTTGAAATGGTGTGTTCTGAGAGCATGTCTATGGACAGGGATGATAACACTTGCTGGGAATGTTTTCTACTTGCCATTCAGTTGATTAGAAAAATGAGAACGTTCTGCTACTGAAAATAGGAGGGAAAAAGTCAAATAGCCTGTAATAGAAAAAGTTTCAAATCAGGAAGCCAGGATAGTGGCACTCTATAAAAATTAGTAAGTTCAACAAAATATTTCAAGCAAGGAAAAGCATCATTTCTGAGTCAGAGGCCCATAAATCGCCACAGAGCAGCATTGTTTTGAAATTTCCCCAGTCTCAGGAAATTGTATTAAGCACAGGAAGAGGGCAGCTCTGGAAACGCTGAATTCCTGGCCTGAGTTTCTGGTCCAAAGCCACTAGAATTGGCAATACGTACAGTTGTCTAGGTCGCACTGTTTCTTTGCAGGCAGAAAAGAGAATGTTCAGAATCTCCCTGCTGAGGACTTCAGAGGTCTTATTTATCATACATACCCCAGACAGTATGTGAATGACCAAATTTCCCTCTTTTTAAACATCCATTTCACCAAATATTTTCACTAGTTTACTTGGTTTCATTTCAAAAGTGAATAAATTTTAGAGGTAGGTAGAATTCTGTTTATGTTTATATAATTAGCAGCAGTGGCTTTTGACACATGGATACCACTATTCCTCATTAGTGAGTATTAGGTGTGAATTCATCCTCAAAACTTCTTTCAAAGATACCTGTTTGTGACAATTTTTGACAGTGCTTCTAACAATGACCAAGGTGGTTTAGACAAAAGTTACTTCACTGTCTCTTTTTTAAAGAGGCAGAGTAAACATACGAGGGTAATTTTTAAAAGAGGTTTTCCTCTGTTCTGGTTTAAACTCTCTTGATACATGTGACCTGACATTATTCTCATTCATTTGAATACATTTTATTTTTAATTGAGATGCTGCTTGTGTAAAAAAAAATAATAATAATAAAACTTGTGAAAAAAATTGCAACACTTTGCTGTTCAGTAAAAATCAATTAAATAAGCACCAATAAAATACTTGGATTGATGACCATCTCAGGCACTTATTTCCTGATGTTTGCTTGCATTTATAAAACGGAAGGTCCTGGCTAAATCAAAGCAATGCTGTGACTTGGGTTGAGACCTTTAAGTTCAAGTTAATCAGATATTTGAAAGATGTTTCAACTTCCCTTTCACTGAGATAGAAAACGATAGCAACTCCCAAAGCAGAGCCTGGCAGAACATAGTTACGTAAAATGCCTGGTCAATTTTTGCACTTTATTACCCTTTACTATTATAGGAAAATGGTGCTATCGTCTGATTACCGAGAAAGCACACAAAAATCTCGCCTTCCAAATCTGAGCCAGTCCTTGACTAGTGATGAACAAAGCCAGGCCATCTGCTCAGAATATCATTACTACTTTGGCCATTTGGACAAGGGATCTATCTTCTCTGTTTCAAAAAGAGGTTTAAGATGGGAAATTTGCAATGAAATAAGTAGACAGGAAGAAGCATTTAAACAAATAGCACTTTCCAATAAGAGCAGCGTTCGTTAGGTAATTATCATCACCATCATTTTCATTTTCAGTCTGGCCGCCCCATTCACCTTTGGGGTGGAGTTCCTGTTTTTCAAGACATTTCAGTAAAAAACTTAGTTTCCGCAGTAAACGTTTAGGGAGGAAAACGGAGGTATGGGTGAAGATGAGTCGTCAGTCAACCCCCACCCTGCTTCCTGCTTTTTTCATGCGTTAAGCACACATTTCTATTTTTCCAGACACACTATGCCTCAGGTCATGTTAATTTCCTGAACGAAAAACAGTCCCTAATCTGCTGAAAGGCAGCTGGCTAACTGCTGGTGTCTGGCAAGTGCCCCATCTGTCCCTGTGCCGGGGTCTTTCCCTCTAGCCTTCACTTTCCCTTTCTCTCGGGCAGGCGTCTCTTTGTTTTCAGGGGTGTTGTTCACCTGAACTTTCCTTTCTATGCCTGTGAACTTGGGCTCTTTTCCTCCACCCTGCGGACCTCGGGCTTTGTCTAAGTGACAAGCCCCAGTTGTGTGACTGTAGTTACCGCGCTGGTGATGGTGGAGATGATGACGGAGATGGTGGAGATGGGGGTGCTGATGGTGTCAGGGAGCGCAGGCTGAGCGGGCGCGGAGAGGAGGACCGACGCGGAGGCGGTGGAGTGGGGCGCGGGAGGGATGGAGTGCAGAGGGATTGCAGATGGGAGCTGTCCACGCGCCGAAGTGCTGAAACGCCGCAGCCATGGCCTCGCAAGAGCGGGGAAAGGCGGGGAGGCGCTGCAAATAAGAAGGGAGAAAAAAAGGCAACAAATACCTTCACACGGCCGCCCAGCCTTGCTTGGGGAATGTGTTTCTGCAGGTGTCCTCGCTGTTGAACTGGGTGGGTGAGATCCCCTATTCTGGCAGGTTCGGTCTCAGATTTCTCTAGAAAGCTGTGAATGAGAGCGGACTCCACGGGGCTGTGATTTTGGTAGGAGGCGTGTGCGCCGGAGACTCTGTCCTTCTATACCGAGCCTGGCTTTCCCCTGGGTCCTAAATGCCTCCGCACTGTTGGTGCCCCCCCCCCGCCCCCCACCCCGCTGTTCTGATAAGACAGTTGCAAGAATTATTGTAATTTTGGCAACATCTGAGACAGAAAGTACCAGAACCATCATTCCCCATATAACCTTATAAAAGGAATCTTTCAAAAGGATTAATGCAGGCTCTGAATGAGACCACTGTGTGTGTGTGTGTGTGTGTGTGTGTGTGTGTATGTGTGTGTAGACTTATGGCAAGAAGGATGGATTATTTTATTAGCAAATGGTATTTAAAAATTGAGTTATTTGAAAAGGCTCAAGTTAAAGTCTATCTTACAAAAATAATTATACTTAGATGACTAAAAAAGTAAAGTTTAAGAAGAACAACTATTGGAATAAATATTTTTTCTGCACTGGGGATAGGAGGGTTTTCTAAGCACAAGAGGGATTGAAGAAATCACATACAAAAAAAATCAATAAGTCTGAGTACAAAAAATACCTTCAAATGTCAAAATATCAAAACATGCAAATATAAATTATCATTTGAAAAAATTGTCCAAAATAAATGTTTATACACAAATGTCTCATAAATCAAAAGAAAAACACTAACCAACTCACAGAAAAAAGAAGAGAAAAATGACAAAGAATTTACAGAAGAGAAATGCATATTAAACACATATTAAAAATCAACCTTCCCAATAAACAGGTAAAGGTGTTTCGAAGTAAGAGCACGGTGCAGTTGAAATAATAGTTAGAAAGTGTAACCCTTCTACAAATCGATTTCACAATAGACATTGTGTTGTAAAATATACATGACATTTAGACCTGATAATTTAATTTGTAGCACTTTATGCTGAAGATGTATTCAGATATGTAGATCAAGGGTATGTATTTAAATTTCATTTATGATCATAGAAATTGTCAAAAAATAAAAACATTCATTTTATATATGAGCTACAATATTTACGACCATTAGGAACATATTTTAAAGTTGTACATAATTATTGTTTATGCAAGACAGAGGTTGAATTTTTTGTCAGAGGGCACATGCATTGGCAGAGAAAGAGAGAGCAATATGGAGGAAGCACTGCCACAGGGGCATAGATACAGTGAAGTCTCTTTTCCTCCATTTCTCCATCTTGTGAAGATTTGGGGCATGCATACACATGTGTTCAGAGTGTTTCTCAAGCTGCTGGGGTGTAATTCCAACTGCAGTGGGTCATGTGGGATCTGCCTTCAATAAGGAGCCAATAGGCCATGGGCTGCCCAAGAGAGATTGATTTTTGACAGGGTCTCACCATGTTGGGGTCCTCCTGCTCCAATCTCCTATCTAGCTAGGACAACAGGAATACAGTGCTGTGCACAGCTAAACACATGTTTTTGAAGACTCTTACAGAGAAAGATAAATGTTTACAAAATCACAAGAGGAGGATACTGGGCCAGCTGTCGTTATGGTGGTTAAGGCAGTTGAATCCCACATGGACAAACTATAAGATTCAATCCTTGTACTGACAGCTTGAAAAACACATTAAGTGTGCACATGCATGCTCAAATCCTAAAAGGAGAGTTGTAGAAAGAATTGCAGCATGACCATCCTCATGGGGTTGCTTTCTCTCTCTCTCCAGTGAATGCATGTGCCCTCTAGCAAGTTAAAAAGAAAAAGTAAAGTAATATAGGGAAATTTGCTTAAAAAAAAAAAGATACCAAATACAAAAT